TAAATACGAACCTTGTAATGTGTTTTCCCATTATCAATAAAAGTATGGTTTTTTATATCAATCTTGTTCGATCTGTGCATATCATCTACTGATCCAGGGATTAATACATGATGCACAGTGGACCCTAAATTATGGGCCCGACAGGGTGGTATTGGAGCCGTACTTGGACTGTAGGACGAAACCTTAGCATGGCCGTTAGATAGGAACATTTTCTAAAAACCTATTTTGAAAAACATTGCTTACGATCTTGTCTCTCAACTTGCCTTGACCTCCTATTTCAAAAATATGATTTTCTCTCCTCTCACCCCCTTCAAAAATTACGAGTAGCATCCATAGGTTTGTATAGAGATTAGGTATTACACAAGAAATTGTGTAACCCAACGACGAGAAGTAGAGACCAAACTTTGTGCTCGTCTTTGTTTCTTGGTATGACTCTTGCATCTTGTTTAGTTACAACTACCCCTTAGATCTCTCTCTTCTCTCACCTTGTGCTCTTCCCTCTCACCCCATTCTACGTAGAGAAGATTTTTGGGTAATAATAGAAACAAAGACCACCTGAGAAATTTGAGAAGACAAAAACCAGCAGAGGATAGAGACAAGAAGGAAATCAACAGCTACCCAAGGCAACCACATTCATTCCACACCCGTGCGACCTAAAAAAGTGCACAGTTGGCCGCATGCGAAAGCCACAAACGCCATGTAGTCGTTGCCCACACACCTGCGCCCCTTCCCCGTACGCTGGTGCGGTCCTCTCCGCACTGCGCTGCTGTCCCCTCTGCACCACCACCACTACACGCCGCACCACCATGCACCACCGCCCAGCAATGCCGCTCGAACTGTCACCTCCGCACCCCACGAGGCCATTGTTGCTGTCCCCCATGACACCACAGTTCTGTCCTCTCCACCCACGATGTCCGCTCAACGCTGCCAATAATGGCGTGCACCCAGCTTAGCCCCCGATCCCCTAAACCCCGCCATCGATCGCCTATAAAACGCCCCCCGACTGCTCTTCACATCAAGAAACCCCACACTCAACGCTAATCACTCACATAAACCCCCCTATTCAAGTGCTAACCTGGTTCAAGAGTTCAAGGGAAAGCCAAAATTGAGTGCTGCAAGCGGAGGACTACCGAAGAAGACATCAAGAAGAAAGAAGTACACCGTTAGAAGCAAGAAGTTGGTACTCTCTAGATGTGTCTAGATGAAGAAGAGATCATGATCGCCATATTTGCTATCCTAATCCCCCCTCTAGTAGCGTCAGTAATATTGGATATCATTGTAATGCACCCGCTACCCTACAAGAAGCACTGAGCTATCTGTTGAAGTAAAGAGATAATATTCTAAGAGATATGCTGGCACTTGGAATGTTACCAAAATTATTCCATTATCAAAGGGAAAGAAGAAAGAGAAAAATGGCACGGTCAATATCATGAGATATGAAAGCAAGCCCTTTCATGCTGCCCCCTTTTCCCGGATTTTGTAGACCACTGACCGCATGGTCGCCCAAGCCACACCACCCCCGTGTTTGCCACGTCCCATCACCCAGCCCCATCGCTTCAATAGTGCCACACTATATAGTGGGACCCCTTCCCACCCCCTTCCTTCTCCATCACACCTTAGACCCTGGTCAAAACCGGTCAAGCGTCTCGGACAAGCCTCACCCCCGGTCCTATACAAAAGACCAAGCCAGCTCTATTCACCACTCCATGCCCACTGAACTATTTCACCAACAGCCTTCTTCCTCCTTGAGCCAAAGGTCCCAGCCCCTCGCAAAAGCAGCTGCACCCATCAGCTTTTCACCTGCAAACCGCACCCGCCGATTCCTCCCACACCCACAAGAATGGCAAAAGGAGTCTAGACCAGCAGCTACTGCTTGAACACAGAAGGTTTCCCCAAGCTTCTGTACACCACCATGCAGAGACTTGGAATCCAAGACCGCCCTGAGTATGAAGGCCGAGAGTATGAAGAGCATGGCACCAAGCGATGCGAAGTCACTGTATATGTGGGAAAGAGTGAAGACTTTCCCGACATAGCCGAAGCCTAGAGCATGACCACCACTGGATTCCATTTCGATCGTCGACACCTGCCAAGCTGTTGCCCGCAAAGCCTGGTGACACCTGTGCCAGACCTACGAAGAGCCCATTGCCCGCACTCCAATGAGGTTCTTCTCGCCCCTGCAGAAGGATCGACCAGTTTGGATGACCCGCATGGAAGCCCTGCAAGGATGCAACCCGCAAGAAGACAACCCAACCATGGTGTTCATGACCACGTACCTGCTTGCCTTGGATGAGCAGCATGATAGGCAAGCCTCTAAGTTGAGGAAGTGCATCCACCGAGCCGAAGAAGCTGAGATCATCGCCAGGAAGCTCCACGTGCAACTTGCAAAAGCACAAGCCTAAGTAGCCACCGCTGAGAGCCATGAGACTGCCATTGCCGAAGCCCTGAAGGAAGCCAAAGACCGTGACACCTAGCAGTTAAAGGACGCTTACCTCTTCATCAGAGCCAAGCGAAGGATGTTTGCCATGGACGGGCAAGAGCCCGTGATCTTGGAAGGAGTTCTCATCTATCCCCCAGAAAGAAGAAGGATAGATGTCGCAGTACCGCCAGCACCCCCACCCATGAAAGCCTCGGAGATAGAGCCTCTCCACCCCCTCACTCAGCCACCACCAAGAGAAGAAGCAGATCTGCACCGTAGCTTAGTGAAAGGACCACTGGTGGCCAGGAATGAAGCCGTGGCATTCGACGAAGTAGATTAGTTACTCCCAAGGGAGATGTACTAGTAGTCTAGCTATACATTTTCCCCGCTCCATCCCATTCTAGTAATCCTCCCATTGTACTCGAAGAAGTTGTGCCTAATTCACGGTCCTGTGAAATTCATGTGCCTCCCATCAAAATGATATGCCCTTGCAATACTAGGTGAATAAACAAGGGTGTGCTTAATCATAACATAATAAGAAGTCAGATTAGGAAATCCACATAAAAAGGGTAAACGACTTAGGAAATAATAACCAAGACTGGACCGTAATCATAGAAGAGTTAAGGCTAAATCTTCTAAGTGCGGTAGACCCTAGCCATAGAAGCATGGAATCCACTCTGAAGAAAGTACTCGGAAAAGCAGCAACAAGCGAAGACAACTAGCTACAAAAAGGTGAAGATTTCTAGATGAGAAATGGAATCCCAAGTAGATGAGAAATGGAATCCCAAGAATACTGTGATTGTTGCTCAAAAGAAATAAAACAAGGATATCGGCATCACAAACCCGGAAGGTTTAGAACCCAAGAAGTCAGCATAAAGGGTGGATGATAGAAGTCCGAATCAATTAAGTGGGGTAACTTTGCAACTCAGAATAGAGGGTGATATGCATATTTTGAAGACATCAGAAGGACAAATCAAGTAGCTCTGCAGCCGAAAAACAAATATGGATGATGATATGATTATCTTGGAAAGACACCGGAAGGTGGAATCATCTAAGTGGGGTAGCCCTTGAAGCCTGAAAAATTGAAATTTCTTAGGGGATCAGATAGTCAGCAGAGTCACTGCGGATAATTCAAGAATGGGGCACAGGAAACGGTGGTATTCTCTCTGACGGATTGACACCTTCATGATCAACAGATTTGTATAATGGTGGTACCATATCAAGAAGCAGACTGAAGAACTCTCGGGAAGACAGCACAGTAAGACAAATAGGGAACCGCGCTCTAGTCCTTCTCTCTCTTTAGATCCTTCTCTCTCTAGGTTTCTCCCTTTTAGTTTACTTGAATTTTGGGGACGAGATTCTTCTAAGTGGTGTAGATCTGTAACACCCTGTGTTTTGCATCATGTTAAAATCCATTAAAAATTTGAAATTTTTAAAACTTTACAACAAATGAAAACATGAAATAGTTTATTCTCTATGAAAACATAACTAAAACCTTTTTCCAAAACTCTTGCATCAAAAATACACCATATATGTTTGGAATGTTTGATTGGTTGTATGCTTGTTTGCCCTAGAATTTATTTGGCACCAAATAGCTCTCCTTGACACTCCTCTACCAAATCTCCTTGACCATTCCTTGAAAACCCCCTTGAATTACCAAAACCCTCCACCATTAAAATTCCCTTGAAATTCAAACTGAAAGCAATTCAAATAGCCTTGGAATAATTCTGGGAAAAAGAAAAAGCTATCCCATAAATGGAAAAGCCTCTCAGGCTCAAACCCTCTCTCTCCTTCTGGCTCGCGCTGCGGCCCGCCTCCCTTTCCCTTCCTCTCCGCACTAGGCCACCGCTGACAGCTGAGCCCGCGAACGCGCCGCCTCCCTTCCCCACATTGGGCCACCCCAACCCAGTGCACACCCACTAACACCGCGGCCCCGCAAGTCAGCCTCGTTGTCTACTAGATGACGACGACGCTGACACCGCGTCACCATACCCATCGTCTTGAGCTCGCGGCTGCCCCATCTTGGCACCCAAGCAGATAAGGATTGAGGAAGCCGTGGACCCCATTGAAGCTTCACGGCCTCACACACTCTATCCCTTCCTCTCTTCTCTCCCCGCCATACGGCCACACATGGCTACTCGACCATTGCCGCCACCAAGGCTGCGCCTGGTCCCCACTGCTCCCCTGCCCAAGTTTGGATAAGCGCAGCCTGTAGCAATGTACAGCGCATCGCCAGCGGAGTTGAGCACATCTTTACATATGAAACCTGCCTCCAAAAGCTGGCCGGGCGTGGCCACGTCACGGGCTTTTCGAAGCCGTTCGATCGGGCGCGCGGACGGCCCAGATCGGGCGAGCCGCGGTTATTTTTCAAAAAAAACCCTTCTATTTTTCAAAAATCAACCCGCGGTCCTCAACCCGCTTGGTCACCTACCCGAGCCTTCACGAAGCTTCACGGGCCGACGCTCGTCCGCTCCGCTTCTTCACATGCTCTGCCGCCTCCGCTCTCCACTCCACCCTCTGCTTGCCGCGCCACCTAAGCGGGCTGGAATTGCGGACACCAGCGAGCCGGTGGCACACTGGCACGATGGCGAGCTGGCGCTGGCGACTGGCCCTCGGTGCGGCAGCCTCCCGGCCACCGCGTGAGGCGCTGGCGTGGCGGGGATCTGGCGGCAGGCCCTCGGCGCTCAACCACCGGCGCGACCGGCGCCACTCAACCCACCGGCGCGAGTCCCTTGGCGCGGCAGGCCACCGGCGAGCTGGCGAGGCAGCAGGCTCCACGCGCGCAGCATCTAGGGGGCAGCATCAACTCGTGGCGGCGGCTCTCTAGGACCTGCCTACGGCGCTCGTCAGCCGCCGATAGCGACGTCCAACCAGAATTTGACTTTGAGCTCAAGATGGATGATGGCCACCATGTGTTCGATGGAATAGAGGAGAGACAGCCGTGCAGCGCGGGCGGCGAGGCAGCATGCCGCGGATCCGATACAGTGGCGATGTGGGCAGCACAAGGCCTCTCGGATGCGATACGCCCGGCAAGAGATGGCCTATGCAGGTTCATCAGAGTTCCAAAGTTTGTTGTTCTTCATCAGGTTTGAAGCTTATCTCTCATCAAATATCATAAAATTTTGGTTCTGAGCCCTGGGGAGCACCGGAGCAGCACCTTGCTCAACAGAATGTCGTGGCCACCGAGCCTTGTGAAGAGCCGCATTGCTTGGAGATGGAGACGCAACGCCGGCTCACAAGCTCCTAGCTTCTGATACCGATTCACCACTTTCGACCTCCTGCGTGCCTAAGCAGCCAGCAAGGACACATTCATACTACAAAGGGAAGAAAGCTTCCACGAGTATGTGAAGAGTAGGAAGCTTAGCTTCGGCCACTTAACCATAGTAAGCAAGCTAAAGAGCTGAGAGAAACAAATATTTTGACATTTGGTTAAGGGGCAAAGTAAATTGCCAGGTTATGCAGGACGCATCCTTGCCAGGAGTAAGGACATGCTTTGATTGTATTTATCCTCTTTTATCTATAATATAATTAATAAAAAATGTGTTCATAAGAAAAATCTTTTTAAAAAACTGCTAAATAAACTAAGTTTAGGGAAAAAATGGCATCTGCAGCCTGTCTGATATTATACCTTTTATACAATGCACAGGCCCGTCTGATGCATCTTCACTTTTCACATGCCTCACTGATGGAGTTGACTGTGCTGTCAAATCAGAGGTAATAGAGTGTGCATATGTGATATACTACACCACATTCAATTTATTTTTAGGAATGTGTATAGAACCTACATACATTTATTAGTTATAGACATATACCTATTCTATTTGTAACTGTTGTGGCGAGTAGATGGCATGTACAGCAATCTTGTACCTTGCCCTGTAGTAGGCGTACAATTTGGAATACATGGTCTTCACCGTAGCCCATATGGCAAGCTCATCTTGTACTAACTTTATTCTCATATGTAAAGATATGTAAAGGTAAGGCCAGCAGCAAAATATCCTAGAAGCACTACACTACTTGTATCCCTGTGTGTTCTAGAGCTCACCTTGAGCAATTCTTACATGAATTTGAACGCTATGAAGCTTATACCATAACCTGGTCTTTTCTTTCTAATAGGTATATCAACATTTAAAATATGTGGTTAATTTTAGAGAATTAGAGATCAGTCATTGTATAATGGGCTAGTAATCTATGTGGGTCATCACTACTGGATTCAGGTTCTTTGTCGAGTGCCTGAGGCACTCGGCAAAGGCTATATTGCACTCGGCAAAGGCTTTGCCGAGTGCGGCACTCGGCAAAGCACACACGGCAAAAAATTGATCGGCAAAGCACTCTTTGCCGAGTGTATTTTATCGGGCACTTTCAAAGAAAAGCGACAAATCACGGTGCGGTCCCGTTGACGGTCACTCGCTGAAAGTGTCAACGTGCTGAGCACTCGGCAAAGATTTTTTAATTTTTTTTAAAATTTCTTTGCGAGTGCCAACCCGTGAGGCTTTCGGCAAATTTTTTTTTAAAAAATTCTTTGCCGAAAGTGCCAAACCGTGAGGCACTCGGCAAAGGGCTTTTATTTTTTTTGAAAATCGCTGCCGAGTGCCAACCTCCGTGCACTTTCGGCAAAGATTTTTTTATTTTTTCTTTTATTTTTTTGAAATTTTTTCTTTGCCGAAAGTGCCAACCCTCCGTGCACTCGGCAAAGATTTTTATTTTTAAAAATTCTTTGCCGTAGCGCCAACCCGGAAGGCACTCGGCAAAGAGCTTTTTTTTTTGAAAATTTTTTTTGAAAGTGCCACCCCTCTAGGCACTCGGCAAAGATTTTTTATTTTTTAAAAATAACTCTTTGCCGAGTGCCATTCTCAACGAGCACTCGGCAAAGTTTAAATTTTTTTTTTTAAATTTCTTTGCCGAGTGTTATAATCACAAAGACTCGGCAAAAGTTGGAAAATCTGTTTTACGGTCGCCCATTTTTTGACTTTGCCGAAAGTGTTGTGACCATTGCGCTTCAACAAAAGCGTCCTTTGCCGAGTGCAACACTCGCAAAGTGACCCAAAACGGCAATTTTTTTTTTGCATTCCATCATGACAAATACATTCATACAAACATATATCACATATATATCTCATCCATCACATATATATCTCATCCATCCGCCCATATCACAATATATAATAATAAGTGCTCAAGTCCATCCAAATAAGTTTACAAGTCCATCAAAGTCCACAAGTGCATCACAAGTATATTACAAGTCCATCACCAAGTGAACAACAAATATAAAAAATACAACATGCACTCATCTCGGCCACTGCGACTGTGGTGAAGGCCCAGATGCATCATTTGTAGGTGCATGAGGTGGATTATTCGAACCACCGTCAGATGGAGACTGCACAAAGGAGAAAAGATTGCATGTGAGACAAGATTATTTTGATAGCTAATCTAGGACGATAGAGGTCATACAAGCAAAGCACAAGCGAAAGTAAAAAACTTTGATACTCACAGGAGTAGCTGCAGCTGCAGGACGCGGAGGCGGAGGTGGAACCAACAGCCCAGGTGGCAGAGACAAACCCATACGTTGCCCAAGCCCTTGTAGGAAATCTGTAATGTCCATCAGCCTCTGCGCCTGGGCCAGCTGCTCGGCCCGCTCGGCCTCCAACTGGGCCCCCAGCTCCTGACGTTCCTTCATTTCTTGTTCCAGCCAGGCCTGCAATATTTCACTCCAATGTTTCAGTAATGAAAAGCTAATTAAGGTGTGTAAAGATCAATGTATGACGAGTAAAACAGGAATAACCTCGAGTGCGTCGACCCGGTGCTGTGCAGCGGTCGACCGTGTGCGAATGGCCGGGCTCTCGCTCGTGCTCCGTGCTCGGATCTGGGAGAGAGAGGGAGTAGAGGCCGTGTCGATGACGCCGTCGCCAAGCCAGAACCGTCCATGCTTCTTGCCTTGCCCCACCCTCATGACGGCCTCTCCATCGAAGTCCTGGGTGCTCGGATCGTGGTCTGCCCCATGGAGCGACCTCGCCACCTCAGTGTACTCACTGATGCGGGAGTGGACGCTCGGGTTCGTGTATGCCTCGGGCGGGTCCTCCAGGTTGAAGGAGACGTCGGACGTCGCCTTACCCTTATGGGCCATACACCATGCCTAGAAGTCCGAGCAAGCCTGGCCACTGTGACGCCGACTGCGAGAAAGACAGCACGATGATTAGAAATCAGACAGAACTGAGCGTGACAATAGATAAATCAATTCGCGTACCTATGCTTGTTTGTATCCGGCGAGGTTGCGGCTGCCTTGATGGTGTGCTGGACCTTGCATCAGTAAACGACGGTCCCGGCCATCCCTGTGCATCTTGAGGTACTCCTCCGTGAACCACCTATCCACCATCATCGCCCAGCACTCGGGATACGCTTGGCACCACCAGGGAATCACCTACACATCATCAAGTATTGGACATATAAGAAGATCAAATTAAACCAACTTAATCTCAAATCGAATCAATATTGATGTTCTTCATTTACCTCAAGGTACTGCTCCCGGGTCAGCTGCATCTCTCTTGCGTCTTTCTTGGTTTTCCTCTCTCTAAGCTTCGACCCATAGTAGGTTACGATGACCTGGATACACGCCTCGTGATGCATGTCGGTGAAATTTTTATCATATGACAACGTGCACGAAATCTTCTGAAATTTTTATCATAGCCTCCACATATGATATCACGACATCTCAACAAGTTTCATGATTTTCGGACTTCGTTTGCTTTTTATAGAATTTATAAACACTTCACACGCAATTTCACGGACATGTTTCGTGAACAAGATGTCCAAATTTTGGGTCCGTTCCTAGATACGGCCTCTCACAACACTCACTAACATGACTATCAATTTTCGAATCATTAAACTCCATTATTCGTACCACATGCAGTTCAAATTTCTAATTTCCAAAAAAATTCAAGTAAACGAAATAAAGTAACTAAATATAACAAAAAGCCACAAAAAATCCCCAAATTATAACTAGGAGTTCCTGGTGCTTTAAAAAGGCTGCACAAAAAAATTGGAGGCCAAAAACAAAAAAACAAAAAAACTTTGCCGAGTGCCGGGGCATGGCACTCGGCAAAAGGTGTCTTTGCCGGGTGCCAGCCATCAGGCACTCGACAAAGAATGTTTTAATTTTTTTTTTAAATTTCCTCTTTGCCGAGTGCATCCACAGGAGCACTCGGCAAAGAAATAATAAAAAAAATTAAATCTTTGCCGAGTGTCGTCCAGGGGCACTCGGCAAAGTATTTTAAAAATAAAAAAAATTTCTTTGCCGAGCGCCAGATCTGAGACGCTCGGCAAAGATTTTTTTTTTTAAAAAAATACATCTTTGCCGAGTGCCAGATCTGGGGCACTCGGCAAAGAAATTAAAAACAAAAAAAAACAAATCTTTGCTGAGTGCCTAACCGCAGGCGCTCGGCAAAGAAGGCCGTGACAGGACGCCGTTTCACGGGCAGTCTATGCCGAGTGTAGAGATTTTGCAGAGAGTCTGGCACTCGGCAAAGAAGTCCTTTGCCGAGTGCCCGTGTTTGCCGAGTTTCCGGCACTCGGCAAAGAAATCTTTGCCGAGTGCAATTCTTTGCCGAGTGCCCGATTTTTGACACACGGCAAAGAATTTTGCACTCGGCAAAGTCTCTGTTTCCAGCAGTGCATCCTAGACTGGCCAACTCAACGGTGGGCACGGATAGTTTGTAAAAAACAGAGTTAGTTTCATTCACAACTACTATGATTGTGTAGACCCCAGATAGCATCTGATTCAAATTGACTGTAATGGGAATCAACTGATTTTATCTAGACGTCGCAAGTATTTGATGATTGCATAGAGAATATATTTACTTCTTATCTGTAACTGCTAGAGCATGCAATATTTCTTTTCCTGGAATTAACGTAAGTGAGAGGAACATGTGTGCTGTGCCATTACAATATAAGATTTCCCACTAGCACTACCTTACCCTAAACAAGCTTTCACGTCTTTCAAAATTGGACCAGAATTCTTTTTATTTGTATTAACGGAAAAAGAAAGGCTTTCGTAATGTAGGTGAGTCCCTGCCCCCTGGATGTAGTTCTCATGCTATCA